AGTACTATCAAATCAAATATCAGAACAGATTATTGGATTGACATTTATAAGGATAATATATATTATGAATAGTATCATACCATAGTATTTGAAGTCGTCGTGGCCTAACGGATAAGACGTCCGGTGCATTCGTGTTGAGCGATGCACCGGTGTTCGAATCTCAGGCGGGTACCAATTTTTCTAATGAAATACGTACTCAACAAATGTTCACGATTGATTTCCACGGTGAAGGAATAACATCGTGTAATAAAAATGAAACCCGCAAAATTATAATTTGCGTAATTACTGGNACCAATTTTTCTAATGAAATACGTACTCAACAAATGTTCACGATTGATTTCCACGGTGAAGGAATAACATCGTGTAATAAAAATGAAACCCGCAAAATTATAATTTGCGTAATTACTGGTGGTAGGACCTCTTGTGAGTCCGCGCGGGTGGGTACCACCACCCTGCCTATTTCTGCCGTGAAGCAGTAATGCGTTTCGGTTTGAAGGATGGGGCAGCTGTTGTAACTATACTTGAGACCTTAGAACTGATATCTCAAGGTGGGTGGCGCATTTACGTTGTAGATGTCTATGGGCTCCAGTAACCACTTAACATCAGGTGGGCTGTGAGCTCGTCCACCCATCTAAGCAATAATAAAAAAAAAAACCCTCTATTCTTTAAAGTCGTATTACATCACTATTCCCGTTTACCTAGTAGTGTAGGTAAGTATAATATAATCTGGAATATAAAGAATTAATTATTTTTTGGTATACATACATCATTATCTGATGATACCTGATAATATAGTTCCTTTGTAGGAGATGCTTTTTTTGGAGTGGTCATTGTAGAGCACAGGTTTTTTTAAAGACACGTGTTTGTACCATATGGTTTCAATTTATTAATTGTAGTTTCTTCGTTAGTCATTTCATCATCATTATCATCATCTAACACACCGTCACCGATAACAAACAGAAATCTTTACATATGCACGGCTCATCTAGGGTAGCAGAATAAAAAATAATAACTCCCCATTTAATTCCGCATTACAACTACTTATTTCCCCAACAAATTGGACATCGTATCGCGTAGCCGGTATATTTTTACCTCATTACTCCTCGCCCCGCGTGGGGGGCCACACAACAATATCGTTTTCAAAAAAATTGCGGAAAGTCGTCGGGGGCTGTAACGAGCCCCTAGGGTGGTACGCACCCCGAAAAATCATTTCCCGATGCTTTTCCGGGCTCCAGCAGCCCTCGGGTCGACGACTTAAAGCGTCATTCTGTTTAGCTCGTTAAATAGATGGCAACACCGCTTTCAATATTAGATTTTATACGTCTTTTAGGCCATTCTAGGGTAATCTATGTTGGGTCGTATTTGACAGTTTTTTTTTTCTAAACAGATGAAAATTAGATGTCGTCATTACAGCCTACACGAATTATTGAGTTGGGAATGTTAAGAGAAGCTATTATTCATTTACCAAGTACATAATTAAGGAATCACTTACAAAAAAATACATAGTAACGCCCAAAGATAACAATTAGTAACATTTCCAAAACACTTCATAATTACATTTATTGTGAAATTAATTAATCGAAGGCCGCTTATGAAGGAACGTCTACTAAGAAGATAATAGACTAGTATTTCGAAAATGCTTTATATTATAACACATATTACATGCAAATGGAATTAAATTCAATACCCGCTAACAACAATATGTTTAATTAAAATAAAAATTGTTAAACTTTTATTGCGTAAGTGCTAAGTTGTGTTTGTATAGATTACGCGCTCGGTTTTGCTTGTTTTTTTTTATTTTAACTTTTTTTTTTACTAGAAATACAAAGGAAGTTTGTATCGTTTGTAGATTATGCAATAGAATCTTCAAATCCTTCATCACTCGGTCAGATTATCTCTGATTTATGCTGTTGTGTATATTATGCTATCAATAAGTCAGTGTCAATCACAAACCGTGCGAGCCAAAAAAAAAGTCTGTGTCATCCTCATTATGAGTAAAAAAGGGCGTAATATTATGTTGCTTCCACTAATAAAATAATCAAGTGACCTTTTTCATATATCTAAGTCTTTATCACACAATTTTATGAGCAAATGGTAAATTCATGTCATTACTCAAACACAGCCCACTTTGCTGGTCCATTTTTGATTTGACTGTGATCTAGGCCACTCTGAAGATTTCCCGAAAATTTCTACACGAAACATACCCACATCGACTTAAATACGTGTATATATATAGATTAAAACTCCATATTTACATCTGTCAAGCTATATAAAACACATGCACTAATTGAGTTATATTGTTTCGTTTTCATTATTACATTATGTTCGGTACGTTTGTGTAAACTTCACCTTCTAATGTGTGAACAATATGATAATTACGACAATTCATTTAATGAGAACATTAAGTTTTCGCACGTGACGACTATATAGGTATGTAGGCCGTTTGAGGTTAGTAATTAATGGGCGCGTTTAAACTATTCGAAATTGAAACTGAAATCTGTCATGGATGTTTTTTTTTTAATTGGCTTTATATGTGGAAGGTATACGGAGCATACAGCCCGACCTATGAAAATTTAGAAGCTTCGTTCATAAACGGAAAGAGATTGGAAATGACAAAAAAACAAAAATATCTATTTGAGTAGCGTTTATTATCATCCTAGTCAGCTGTGTCAGGGACATAATATTTTGGTTTTTAAAAAAATACGTAGACCATGCAGTTTCTATACAGAAACCGTATTAATATAATTATAATAAAGTATGATCACATTCACACCTTAAAGCCATTATAGGAGTGTAATGTTTTCAGAGTTAATGTATAAATGAGCTTTTTTACACCGTAACTTTTAAATTCTCGCACATACCTGAAACAAATATCTTTGGAATCTTTAGATCATCCCGCTAACACTTGTTTTCTAACTATTTTGACTGGACTATGATTTCTTTTTAAATAAAATGTAGGTATTTAATATGATCGTCAGTGCGATACGAATTTTTTTTTCTTCACATTCTTTATCTTGATATAATGGTTGGTAGTGGGGCTACTCCAACTACTAACAGCCCAATAGGTGAGCCCACAATCTCACAACCTGAGAGAATTGCTAACACTGACCCTAGCAAGAGCAGTGTTTCGCTGACTCTACCAGCGGATCAGAATCGCGACCAACCGAGGAGATCCGGTGAGAAACTCAGTGGAACTGAACACTGATATATCTCTCTCAATAAATCTAGGTGCCATTCGTACTGAAAACTTGATTCTCGTCTTTGTATTGTCAATTATGTGAATTTAACGTACCTATAAATAGGACACAGTGGACCTGACTGTCTTTGCCCCTGGTATTGCTGACGTCGTAGGGTGACCAAATTTCGCTTAGTTAATCAATTTGTTTTTTTCGTCATTATATAAAAATCTTTTCCTTGAGCAATAAAGTTGAAGCCCAGGTTTCATTTTTCAACACTGTACATTTTTAAGCGCATCATTCATTTTAAAAATGAATCCTTTAGTGAAAACAACATTGAATTAGCCGTAAAAAGATAGACTATTGATAAAATAAAGAATGTGTGCGAAATAGAACTATCTCGTTGTCTCTCTCGCACTCCAGCTCCGTAACGCTTTTTTCACGCTTTTTTTACAATAAAATCATTTTTTCTTACACTATTTTTAATTCAAATTTATTAAAATTTAATTTCTATTTTTTAGTTGGATTTTCTATAAAAGCGTATTTTTTTTTGTATTTTTAAACTATTATTTTTGTACCTTAATCATATTTAAAAGATTCACGACCTAGTCATTTTTATTGTCATTGTATTTTGTCTCATCTCATTGCATTATTGTCATTGTATATTGTCATGTTTTTTTTTTAAACATCAGCAGTCTCTTGATTATGATCTCATAAAACAAGCAGCCAAGTTCCCTAGTGTCAATTGATTCTCAAAAAAATATATCCACGAACATTATTATTCCCAAAAAGAACGAACGCTGACCAGGACGGTTGCTTAAAAGCCCAAGATCATAATATCGCGTCACAAAAGGCTCTGGCCGCAGTACAATGGACCTTTAGCAGTTCAGTACAAGGCCTCGGTCGTTTTTCGTCGATTTTTGTTGACACCTGCCCGTGCGGGAACAAATAACGTGTAATGCGATATCGCGGTGAACTTTTTTCGGTTGACGCGTTGCGAAGATTTCGCTGCTTAGACGCGTGAATGAGTTCACGGCTCTAAGTGATCACTGGGACCCATGAATTTGACAATGTCATCAACCGCGTCGAGACAAGTGGAAGATTCAGCTGGGTAGTATGAAGACTATATATAACAGGGAAATGGTACTTACATCTGCCTACAACATGAGCTTCCAACGTTGATTTTAAAAATTAAATTGTTCCGCGTTTTTATTATTATTACGCAATGTTATATTTCAACATGGATGTCATTTTTGTTTGTGTTTGATTAGAAGGATTACTATCATTGATTTGAACCCCGCCGAATGGCTTTTTATCCCATAGGCCACAACGACCTCAAATCTGCTCGTGCCTATACCAATCTCTAAACCAATGATTTTGTTTTAGAATCGGTTTATATATTAATACGCATGTAAAATTATTGTTTAATTTCATAAAAGATTCGAGTGTCCGTTTGCGGAAACTTTTACCTTAATAACACATTCATAAAGCTCAATTTATAACGGTCTTATCGTCGCCAGTCAATAAACTTCACTCTCGATACGCTTGATAGAATTAATCGTATTAAAAGAGTTCCCTGTGTTTGTATCACCGCTTCTTCTTAAGACTGTGCCTTTTTTTAACCGTTAGAAATTTATTTGAATTTCACTATTTGAATTTGGAATCTTTCCACATTGATAAATGTGACTTTTATCGAACAATCAAAGACCACGAAATTTCTAGACACGTCTAGTTTTGATTTTATTATATACCTACATACATAGTATGTACATTTATCTGTTTTAAGATTTTTAATTCTATTTTTTTTTGTTTCATGTAATGTAGCAGTCCGACAATTTTACACAGGTAATGTTTTAAATTTAGTTTATTTTTAATGGTGTTTCTGTTATACTGATTTTGGGTTAATTTTTATTATACTTTTTTGAATGAATGACCGATTTAATACTGATCCGTTGTAACCATTCCGTTTGTGGATTGATAGACCAATAAATAGTGTTGCCAATTTTACTATTTTAAACCAAAAAAATATATATTAATAAGCTATGGTGTAAAAATTTTCATCATTAGCGATGATTTGCGAAGTGACTGAATGTTTTCTTTGTGAGATTATTACGACCATTAGGTATTGTGGTGGTGACTTGTACAGCCGCTGTTCCGGAACCGGAAATATAGTGGTACCTGCCCTTGCGAGTTCCCAACACGCGCTACCATCATTAGCGTATTAACAGCACTCGATAACTCAGACTAAATAGCACCAAAACCCAAATCCGACTAATAACTCAGAATAAGGTACATTTTTTTAATTGTCAGATGATTACTAAGTAAAAAAAAAATATAGGATGCATTTACTATATAATTTACATACAAGCTACATTTTACTTGATGGATTATTAATTTTAAATGATAATCGAAAATTAGAACTTGAATGTCAAGAAATTTAAACTGTGGTAATTTGTCGAATGGATCTGATAACGCCATCTATGAATATTATTCGGAACTCTGTGTTTAAATTGAGAATTCTCATAATGTTGTATTTGTTTAATTGTTCTATTTCCTACTTTCGGGTCACGAATAGGCTCATAATACCTGTACGAGATTAGGATGTGAATATGGGGTTACGAATTAAAGAGTTAGGTGCGAAAATGAAGGAGGTTGCTATGGTCGGGTGATTTGGAAGAATCTTATAACTTGTAATTGAAAGGTGGGCAGGATATTATATTTAAGATTCCTTGGCTTACATTAAAAAGACAAAAAAAAAACTCATGAAAATTTTGTATTCAAAAATATTGGCTTCGAGATTTTGGCGGGAACGCGAGGGGTGAAGTTGTGTGAATTGTTTTATTTTGTTCATTGGGTGTTACTGCAGGCTTAACCATTTAATAACGGTGGTTTAAAATAGGTTGAACATCTGTGATAATTTACAAATCACCAATTTATGTACTAACTTAACCTAATTTGAGTCCGGGTAACGAAAAACTATAGGTACATATCGTTTCGAGCCATTTATGGAATCACGAAATAAATCCGGCAATGGATACCTTAGAGCAAATACAGCTCTTTTGTCAGTGCTGAGAACTAAGCTTTTTTTTTTTATTGCCTTTGTAGGCAGACGAGCATACGGCCCACCTGATGATGAGTGGTTACCGTCGCCCATGGACTTCAGCAATGCCAGGGGCAGAGCCAAGCCGCTGCCTACCATAAGCTGAATTGCTTTAGTTAGTTAAGCGACAAATTTCCTAGCAAATCGATCGCTTCGTGATCGCGCAGATTTCCCGTTTCAAAAACAATCCACAGAAATAATTAGATTTCCAGCGTCTCGTACAAAGATTGGCTCGAGGCGCCTCCGATAAATCTAATCATTTGATCTCAGACGAAATTGGCTGACGCCGGATTGGCAATCTGCTTACGAGGCACCTCGGGAATTGGCCCAATATATCGGATAAGTGTTAAAGTATCGACGTCGCGCGCATTTTCAATGTATTCGATTTTCGTCGAGTTCGCCAAACGTTTGTACGTGAGAATTTTGCGTTCGATTACGGCCTTTCGAATATGTGATGGAGATATTATGACGCGGCTTCATGAAGTTATAGGCCTACTACAGTCAGCGTGTTACATTTTTTTAACTTACAAACACAAATTGAGGTTTTTTATTTAGTTAACTGGGCTAAAGATTCGTCCGGATGGTGTCATGAAGACGTAATCTTGTTATAACGTTTGGTATTTGTACTATTAAATACGCGCTGTCTCATTTCTCATCAGGACATATCATAGCACACATATCATTGTAATAAAAATGAATATTTAACAAAAAACTTATATTAAAAAAATTATCTAATATTAAAAAAAAAAGACATGCCCGCTGAGTTTCTTGCCAATTCTTCTCAGGACGGAGGCTAGTTCTTGTGAATTGGCGGTAGTTCTTTTGACGTTCAACAAGTATGTACTTTCATTTATGATGAATAAATTTTTTTTGATTTGATTTGATTTGATTTGTAACTATACTGAGACCTTGGAACTAATATCACAAGTGGTAGGTGGCGGCATTTATGTTGTAGATATTGTCTATAGGCTCCAGTAACAACTTAACATCAGGTGGGCCTTGAGCTCATCCACCCACCTAAGCAATAAAAAAATCCCAGCAGTTCTAATATTATACGAACGCTAGGTGAGTCATGACTTAGTAGTCAATAGCCTTAATAAAACCAAACTGTTACATGCTGTTAAAGATTCCTTTCTATCCTCGTTCTAAGAAGGACGTAGCTATCAGGAAAGACCCTTTATTCCATTCTCTGTCAACAGATTCCATACGAATGCTTGCGATAGCACGTAAGGCAGGTTCGTTTTGATAACAAAACTGTCCAATGAAACAAATACTACATAATATTTTACTGGTGGTAGGACCTCTTGTGCTCTTGGCTCCAGTAACCACTTAATATCAGGTGGGCTGTGAGCTGGTCTACCCATCAAAGCAATAAAAAAAGAAAGATAAAAAGCGCCTTTGTCTGTCCGTAAGCCCAAGGCTTTAAAGCGATTCGTAGCTAGTTTAAAGAATATTACGGTACTAATGTTTCTCCGTACACTCGCATATCGAACGTGAGTAATTGAGTTTCTGGGGTGGCCTGATTGTATTACTCGAGATACAAGATTGACGTATTTTTTTTGTATTTTTTTCTGTTTTTGTGAGTCTTAACTGTAATTAAAACTACTTTTATTAATAATTTTAGTTTATGATTTATCGTCGTCCGTGACCCTGAAAACTATAAAACATTGGAAATATCAGAAATAACATAATGATATAATCAAATATTCAAATGTTTGTTGTCAGTTATTGTGTTGTATTTTGATTTATAAAAAAAGGCACATTAAAATATGTGAATCAAGTTTCCCATGCCAACGCAAATCATTCGAAATCGATTAGATACGATTTCGAATTTATTGAAATAATAAATTTTATTTTGTAGTTAACATGTATTGCGTCCTCATTATATTCGATGTAAAAACTTCGTTTTGTCGCAAACTGACTTAAAAATCAATAGAACGTAGGAGCGATGCCGAAAAGAGACAAACTTATTATGTCTAGGTGTTAAATTATCTGATAATGACATACAATTTGTATGACAATTTACTGGCGGTAGGACCTCATGTGAGTTCGCACGGGTATGTACCACCACCCCGCCTATTTCTGCAGTGAAGCAGTAATGCGTTTTGAATTGAAGGGTGGGGCAGCCATTGTAACTATTGTAACTATTATAACGTTTCGTGCTGCCCATCTCTTTGCACGATTGTCCATGAAGCCGTCGCGGCCTAAAGGCTAAGACGTCCGGTGCATTCGTGTTGAGCGATGCACCAATGTTCGAATCCTAGGCAGGTACCAATTTTTCTAATGAAATACGTACTCGACAAATGTTCACGATTGACTTCCACGGTGAAGGAATAACATCGTGTAATAAAAATCAAACCCACAAAAATTACAATTTGCGTAATTACTGGTGGTAGGACCTCTTGTGAGTCCGCGCGGGTAGGTACCACTGCCCTGCCTATTTCTGCCGTGAAGCAGTAATGCGTTTCGGTTTGAAGGGTGGGGCAGCCGTTGTAACTATGTATACTGAGATCTTAGAACTTATATCTCAAGGTGGGTGTTGCATTTACGTTGTAGATGTCTATGGGCTCCAGTAACCACTTAACACTAGGTGAGTTGTGAGCTCGTCCACCCATCTAAGTAATAAACTCCTTAAGTTATCACTTCTACTCAGTATGAACTACACAGGTGATTTTTGTCTTCAGGGCCCATCGGATACTAAGTGCATTAAATCATTGAGTTTCGCGCCAGTGGTTGATTCTATGAAGCACTGTCCTTACTAGGGCTAGTGTTAGCAAATTCTCTCAGGCTAAGACCGTGAGCTCACCTACCGGTCGGCGCGTGCTTGGTATAGCCTCTTTGCTACCGGCGAATAGATAGGGCAAAGAAACTAAACCCGTCAAACCTTATTTTACAAAGGTAACACCGCTTCAAACCTCAAGATGTGATATCGAAGACTCATTGGCATTCGAATTCCAAAATCTTAAAATTTCCCACCAACAAACTTACTATCATAACAGCTCGATTAATTCAAAAGCAGAACATCGAAGAAATTAAATAGTTAAAATTTGCAACAACATTATTCTGCATCTTCTTAATCGGTTAACGACATTAAATTAGACTAAAATATAAAAATAACAATCCCTTGTTTTCGGTAATATATTACCGGGAACAAATTGCTTATTCTATTAAAGATCACCCATTTTACGATAGATACTCTGTGTAAATGAAATATCAATTTAATATCAGTACCTATTATATAAGCAATACGAACAGAATACCTAATATTGGCGCCAAAAAGGACTGAGCGTTTTAAACATTTTGATGTTAAATGAAATTTCCACGTAAATGTAATAGCGAAGTGGCAATGTTCTCCACAGAAGTAGCTTTCCTTACACGAGAGTCATATTTCCTCCCCTCCGTACCACCCCTCGGAGGGAGGGCTCTCGCATTTAAATTATACTTCTTAACTGAACACAGGCCATTGTAACCTCTACGAGTGTGTGTTAAAGAAGGAATTCCTTTGGAGTGGCGGAACGTGTTTTTGAATTTATCATTTGCCTAGTGCAATGACGTGTTTTGGTCCACGGAATATGATTCTTCTATTCAATGTTTCATGATAAGTCATACTTCATTTTGACGTAGTCATGTAGTATGAATATCATAGTATTCGATAGATATTACTTAGTATTTAAATAGTATCAGTTTTAAGATAGAGAAACAATGTGTGCTATTTTTTTTATTGCTTAGATGTTTGAACCAGCCTACCCAGTATATAGGACTAGAGCCCATAGGCATCACCGAACTTGAGACTTCAGATCGAAGTCTCAATTGCAATGCACAGCTGACCCGCACTTCAAACAGAGGAAGACCAACCAACTGAGCAGTAGAAATAAACATTGTGGTACCTATCCTTGCCATATCGAGCAAAATCAACAAATTTACGTGTTTCATTTTAATTATTAAATATTCTCATTAATACCCACATATACATTACAACTGTAAAGACTTTGCGAATTCAATGCTACCCAATGAATATCGATTACAAATGCTCGATTATAATTTAATTGTTACGAATAACTAATCGCTTTAGTGGTCATAAACACTGTTTATAATATCCAACAGTCACGCAAAACTGAGGTTTATTTGACTAAATGCTCGATTGAGCATGCTACCTATAACTGTATCAATCAAATCGTTCATAACATGGAAATCTGTAAATTTAATAATAAGTATTAAATGATACTTTGACTGCGACACGGTTCGCCACACGAAATTTCAAATGCCAATCGAAGTATAATTGAACTCACTATTACTATTTTAACTTTTACTATTATACGTTTTTTATTATCATTATTTTATTATTGTCATCACCATGAAACATTTCGAATACTGAATTTTTCTAAACATCGGAAATCTATACTAATATTATAAAGAGGATAGATTTGTTTGTTTGTTTGTTTTGATAAGGCTTCGAAACTACTGAACCGATTTGAAAAATTCTTTCACTATTTGGAAGCTACACTATTCCCGAGTGACATAGGCTAAAATCTTTTTTGAAAAAAATTATTAAATGCATTAACATTACTAAAACTCCAATAATGTAGCCCAGGGTGTCTTTACATCGCGTGCCCTGCGAAAACAATGTACTACGACTTTGTAGAACACATTCTTTTTTACAAAAAGTTTCGCGACATCATATGTCTAACTATTATAGTTATGCCGCAATAAGTGTTCTTTTATTTAAAAAAAATATAACAACGTCAAATATCGTTGAAATTTTTGTTAAATACCCGAGCGGAGCCGGAGCGGGCCGCTAGTAATATAATTAACCAATAAAAACGTGAAATAGTTATACATAATTTTTTAAACCGTTCCCACCGCCATTTGCGTGCAGATAATGCACAAACGCGAATAAACGAAGCCACAAATAATAATGTATGGGATATTTCGCATAAATTCCTTACCAGAAAACTATTTTTCGCAGCAAAACAACGAAGATTTTTTTCGGCAATAAGACTACTTCAATTTAGAAAACTTCAATTTAAACAAAAAGAAAAAAAAAACAAAAGAATTCGATATTCAAATATATTTTTTTCAAACAAAACAAACAAATAATCGTGCCGTCATTCGTAATTCGTAGGGCTGACGGGGGCGCGTCGAATCGATTTTGTGTCCAGTAAGATTGGACACACCGCGCTGGTCTATTGTACGAAGATAATCGTACAGATGTTCCGTTTGTCGCTACGATTATCGATTATTGTAAACAAACGTTCTTAGTCGTTAAGAAGTTATTTTATTCAATTTCGTTGCATTTTTTTTCTTTTTAATTTAAAAATTTACTGGTGGTAGAACCTCTTGTGAGTCCGCGCGAGTAGGTACCACCACCCTGCCGATTTCTGCCGTGATGCAGTAATGCGTTTCTGTTTAAAGGATGGGGCAGCCGTTGTAACTATACTGAGATCTTAGAACTTATATCTCAAGGTGGGTGACGCATTTACGTTGTAGATGTCTATGGGCTCCAGTAACCAGTTAACGACAAGTGGGCTGTGAGCTCGTCCACCCATCTAAGCAATAAATAAATTTTAGCACAGGATAGGCACGTATTGACGATTTCTATGGTATAATAAGAAAGCCATGCGCGTCCTTACTCTGCAGGATAGAGACTAGCTTCAACAGCACCTCGGCCGTGATATTCTCGAGATTAGATGGACCTTTTCTCAATTATTGTAGACAGGTCCACAAAATGTGCTCGTAATGCTAAAATATTTTAATTGTAATTGTATGTATGTTGTTCTTTTTTTTTTGTTACTGTGTCCTTACCTACTAACATATTTTTAAGAAATCACTGTTACCAACATTAATATGCATTTTTATTTTCTGGATTATGGTTCCGTGCTTATACGGCTTATATAGTGTACAAACCACCAGTGAAGTCAGCGAATGAAAATTGATAGCATTCAATGCTTACCCTCCATGCGTTAGAAATGAAGATGCATTATTCACATGTCAACCCTAAACGTGTATTTTATGTATTTATCAACATGCATCGTCCTTTGACCTCATAACTTAAGCATAGCATGGTCCCGAGACAACAGTCGATCCGTCACGCGGCAACCCTACTAAACAGACAAACGTGACGAAATTCACGCAACGAATTCATTGAATTGTTTATTATGGAGAACTTCGTGATATATGAAGATGTATTTGATGATGATTGAGATGGCAGATTTAACATTGCTAACAGATTATAATTAACACGTTCGCGTGAGCAACCACATTTCTGAATATCGCTACTGTGGCGCACCTTTTTCCGATACAAAGTTTAGCAGCGTCTAACAACGTCCCACCGTAATGCTTACATCTTATTATGATGATTTTTTTAAAGGAACGTGGCGGTGTAGGTTATAAAAATTGAATGTGTTGCGGCGCTATGTTGGTGCGCCATAGGAATTTGCCCATAAAATAGACGTCCAAAGACGTTCGGACAAAATAAATATGACTAGAGGTCCCACAGTAGTCGAAATTCGACTATATTTAATTGGAATTGTAAATTTGTACACTATTATGATTGTATTTTATACTTCTATAATCACAAATTTCGCCAAGACTACACTATAAAAAATATTAACAAAGACAAACAATATTTAATCTCAATTTGACAACAGACGTCAAGAACAAAAGTTTGACAATAAATAGTATACATGCGTGTGTGCGTCAAATACATGGTATGTAGTGTGCGTAATGTTTTCTTTATTGATTTAATGTATCTTTTATGCATTATTTTAAAAATATATTAGCATTGTGCACTTCTTCTCTATATCCTCTATGAGTGTGGAAAATTTCATACTCCTCCGTCCGCGCAATTTTCGTAAAAAGGGATACAAAGTTTTTGCTTCACGTATTAATAAATATGATAATCTAGAGGCCGTCATATGACGTTGCGCCATTTCATAATTTAAAAAACACGACATTGTAAGACGGTGCTCACGCGAACGTGTTAACGACCGTCCGTATTTGTGTACCATTATTATCCATAACCATAACCATAATCGTTTAAAAACCAATTAAAATTTTAGAAAAAAAAAAACTGGTTTTTAGTAAGTTTGTACGTGTCAACCCTCGGACAACTTCTCGGTCGTTGAAATAACTTCTGCCAGTTGCAAGTGAAGAAACTCCGATTGCGCGTTAAAACACAGCGTTCGAAACGTGTAAATTTAATAATTCATTGTCGTATTCATTGGCGACAAATTCAATTATCCGATGTCCTATACCGCGGCCCCCTCGATTCGCCCCGGATCGTGTCCCCGCGGTACCCACCGGTGTCCCCGGAGGCCCACACGAGCTATTCTATTAACCCGCCGCTGCGTGTTTACTAATTCATTTGACAATCACATTCGGTAATTATGTGACTAATCCCTGGGTGCTGTGTTTTCGTACTATTCGTGTAAGTGGATTTTGGGGATATACCTACTACGATTTAAGGGTATATTAAAGCGATTATCTGAATGTATCGCATGATCGATTCGTTAATTTAGATATTTGAAAAAAAACCTTTTTTTATTTATTGCTTAGATGGGTGGACGAGCTGGTGTTAAGTTACTGAAGCCCATAGACATCTACGACGTAAATGCGCTACCCACCTTGAGATATAAGTTCTAAGGTCTCAAGTATAGTTACAACGGCGGCCCTACCCTTCAAACCGAAACGCATTACTGCTTCACGGCAGAAATAGGCGGGGTGGTGGTACCCACCCGCGCAGACTCACAAGACGTCCTACCACCAGTAATGTGTGTGTTGTGTATCTTGTTAACGGTTACATTGAGATACGTGTGGGCTCTGGTGGCGATTGGGGACCAAGAGGGCTTTAAAAAAAAGGAAAAAAAAAACGATAATGCTTTTAGCGTTCGTCTTCTAAGCGTCCCTGGTCAAATCAACTGATAAACCCAACACACGTCCTTCGTTCATTTGGCGATGCGCTCACAAAAGTACATAAATATCAATGAGTTTATTGATTGATATTTGTAATTTAACACAATGCTATTTTCTTGTTACAGGCGTGTCTTCTTTGGAAGCGGCAAAAGACTTCACGGTAGACGGCCTCACAGGATACAATGGGAAGAAGAAGAAGAAAAAACGAAGACATAGGTAACTATAGATTTTTACTGATCAGAAATATTCCTCAGTATACAAAGATATGAAAAAGGCTTCTAGCAGTAAACAGCGTTTTGCACGCTAACGGGAAACCGTGACGAACAGAATAGTCATAGATTATTCTGTTTTGAGGATTAGAAAAAAAAAAGAAAAAAAATGCTGCGTAATCTTTAACAAGTTCACTCTATTCTTTTGTTCTTACAAACATTGTGACATTGAGGTACACCATAATTCAACAATTTTATTTTGTTAAATGTATTGCACAATCAGCACGCCCTACTGGACGGTTGAAATAACTTTTTGCCTCCTTTGTTGTGTCATTTTCATGGTCAAAATTCTGATGTGACTATATAATTTCAAAGAAAAGTGAAGTATATATAAGAATAACGTTTTTCAGTCAGTAAACAGCAAACATTATATTCATATTGCCTTAAAAAAAAGCTCGTAAACTTAGTTGTGGTGGTTAGTTGGCTGGAGTCTTAGAAGTCTGGCTGCTACTCTAGAAGATTTCGGATGGGGTAAGGTGAGGGGAGCAGAAAGACCATTGTACTTTGATGCTGCTTGGAAGAACAAAACGGTCGCGTTTCCGATCCAGTGGTACATTTGGCGAAACAATGCTCTTACTGGGGCTAATGTTAGCAAGTCCTCCTTCTGAGCTAATTTACCAGCCAAAGCCTAGTTGGAATAGCCCATAGACTACCAAATGAACGATAGAAAGAAAATATATGCTTAACGCTTACTTAAAATGGGCCATCCTTTCGAATCGTGACATACAATTGGTTCACAAACAAAAATGGGCAGAACGATAGTCTGGTCCTATATAGAACCATCACATGCCTTTCCACCAGCAATGTTTTTTTAGGACAATTTATCTTCGCCAGTAAACTTTACCATTCCGCTTTATGGACTCGTTGCTACCCATTTCTACCCATCTGTGTTCTGTTTCTGCGGCAGGACGATCTTCACCTCCTATCAGCTGGACGAACTGGAGAAGGCCTTCAAAGACGCTCACTACCCCGACGTATACGCAAGAGAAATGCTGTCCTTGAAAACCGACCTGCCCGAAGATCGGATCCAGGTTAGTGAAACGATGTACAATCTACCACGTCTATCTGATACTGGATAATCATTTTAAACCCCGGTAACCGTACTCGTCGAACTCGACAAAGAGGTCGACGTGCAACCTATCCCATTCATCAACCCGCTGAGTTTCTCGCCGGGTCTTCTCAGTGGGTCGCGATTCCGATCCGGTAATAGATTCATTCGTCAAGCAATTGCTCTTGAGTTGTTAGGTCTCGTTCAGAGGCGCTCGGGCAGTTGTTAGCAAATCCCACCCCTCCTGGCTGAGCCTTCGCTCGACCACCTGTCCTGATGAAGCTGGAAAGGCCTCCGGGCCACCAGTAATCTTTCAATCATAAAAAAAAAAACATTCTAAGATGCTGTGACTGATGTAAAGAGATCACGGATATAGTATGTCATGGTTTTTGCTGATATCTGAAATGAAATCAAAAGTCCAGGTTTTAAGCAAGCTCATTTGATCTTCGGTGAGCTTGTATGCTGTTCTATTAGGCTTGTATGCTAATCAACTCCTCATCAACTCAAAGTGACAGGTGGTTCGTAACCCTATAAAAGGTTTTTGCCAACCTTAATATCAGTAACTTTTAATAGGTTCAGAGCTCAGAGCATTTACGGACTGCGAGCGCTTAAACGACGAAGCACTGTTAAAAGTCTGCTCATTTTTAAAACGCTTCAGCAAGCTTGTAGGAAAAATCGTTTTCATTGAACAAAACAAATTCGTCCCACGTTATTTTACGGCATTAAATGGTTTCGATCCAAAAATTATAAATGTGATAGACATATTGTTAGTCATTTCAAGCCCTTTAAAGTATCACTGTTAGAGGGACGAGCTATGACTCTGATTGTGTAACTAGCGTAATCAGCCATATTTATTGTGAAATATCTAATAATACGGTACATTTCTTGACAGACTTTTACTTAAGGCTGCTAGTGGAAACCACGTTGTCTGTACCCTGTGTTATTACACTTAATATCCCTTGGACGTTATGCTCATGTGGCTGCGTCAAAAAAAATCTAACGAACATGACAATGCACAACGCTGCCTCAAAAATCGAAGAGCTCGCGAAACCGTAGGTAGATACGACAGCAAATGATTTTTTGCGAACACGACGACAATGCGTCCTTAATCTTGGATTTGAGAGTGGCGCAAAAAAAACCGTCTATTATGCCCTTATTATGCCGTCAATTGCCATCGATTGCTGTCAGCGGTTGTAACACGAGACCCGACCGGGGGGATCGAATGCCGCTTAAAGTTTTAGATTGAGTTGCACATTTTCTTAGTAAAGTATTTTTTAGAGTTCATTTTTTAATTCGCTAACTTGGACAGCGGATTACATATGATTCAGTTATAGGTGATTAGTTAGCAACGCCGGTGATTTATTTAAAAATGACTAGGGGCTATGAACAAGATCACCTTTTTTCTATTGCTGGTAGCATACGGTGTTATTGCAGCTATGGTAGGTGAGCTCACGGGCTCAACCTGAGAGAATTTGCTAACACTAGCCCGAGCAAGACTAGTGCTTCGCCGAATCTACTACCGGATCGGAATCGCGACCCATTGAGAAAATCCGGCGAGAAACTCAGTGGACTACAAAATCAATATTCGACGAGATATGCAAATAGATATTTTAAACATTATTTTTTTAGGGTTTTTTCTCACGATTTTGCTTTTCTTGGGTTCTTGATATTTCGACGTGATGTATAAGTTTTATTGTCACAGGTAAACCTACCCTATAGCCGTTAAAGTCTAAAACAATTCGTTGCAAAACCGATACATATATCCTAAAGTAGTACCTACTTGGACAATCGTTCTACGATAAATTATGGTATTTATGCGAGTATCTTTAGTTGACTAAATTCGTTGCTAATCGCCAAAGAGATTACAGTAGAAGTACCTACCTGTGATTAAAAATACCTACTCACACTATAGTCTGAGATATTGTTCGTTATATTCGCTCTGGATTTGAAACGTTTCGCGAATTGAACTTTACAACATTCAGTATTAGATATTCCAAATTCTTCTGGCTCGATAACTCGAAGTGGGCTCAAAAATAAGATCGTTTCATTCTTGCCGATCCTGTGCTCTCTTTTACCAGTTAGTAGCTACAACTTGACCAAGATATTTATTTAGATTCGCCGGCCTGCGCCCATTTGATTGTTCCAAATTAAAAAGTTAAGGACTTTCCAAAAAAGAACTGACAGAAAAACTGATACAAATTCCTTGTGGCTACGAATCGAGTAGGTAAATTCGTTGGAGAATGCCGATTGGCTTTACCAATATAAATACCTACTGAAGTCTAAATCACTCCTATAAAACTCACGTAGAAACTAAGCAATAGAATCTTTGAGGAGATTTAAAATATAAATTCAATAGAAAAAAAAATGTACGGTCGATTCAATACAGGATCCGTCAGTCAGTAGGTACGGCTCACGTCAATGTTGTCGTGCATTCGACACCGGCGCGGGGCAATACGATATTTTGCGTAAACAATCACAGAATGATTCGCGGAAGGAAGTTTTTTTTGTTCGTGAACTTTTAGAAATATTTTAGAAGCGATTTAACGGACGATCGAATTGCATTCCGCCCTTATTGTGTGTTGTGATTCGGGAATGTAATAACTAATTGATTGATTAATTTGTTTATAACAAAAACATGTGTTTTATTGTGTGCGTTCTCGCTTACTTAATACTAGATGATGATTTTTTTTTGATAACGCCATCTTGTTGTGTCTTTAAAGCGGTTAGTTGCCCTCAATTAAGAAAATAATATTATTATTCGCCAATAGATGTCGGGAAGAGTTGATTATTGAAAACGCGAATAAAACAACATTTTCTGAACATAAATCGTAGCTAGATCGATTTATCGCCCCCGAAATCCCCTGTATACTAAATTTTATGAAAATCGTTGGAGCCGTTTCCGAGATTCAGATTATATATATACATATATATATTTATTAATATACAAGAATTGCTCGTTTAAAGGTATAAGATAAAGGTTTGCTATAAAGGACCATTCGATCAGTCCATCGTCGTATAGTACCTACCCAAGATGATTTGGAATAAGTTACGCGGCAGAGAAGTTGTAACTATAGCGAGCAACAAAATTAAGATCAAAAATACTTTTGTTAGTATTATTGCCGTTGAAGGCATATGTCCCCTTTCACGGTGAGTAATCATAGATGCTCATAAACTAGGGCAACGCCAGAAACGCAAAGAAGCCGCCGCCTAATACTTATTTTATGTTAAGACTAACTTTCCTCTGTAAACACCGTATTTACCATCGTATAGGTATCTGAGATGCAAATTACCTGTCTGAGTAATTGTCGGTAACTAAACAATACGTCCATATATTATTTGCCGGTAAATGAGCACAGGACTCTTTAAAAAGTCTATAGACTTCAGATTTTTTTTTCATTTACTAAAAATTTCCCCACTGAGCAACATTTTACAAAGACAATAAAACTAGACTTACATTTTTTACATTACATTTTACACGTGTATAAACTAATGCACATTGCAGTAATAAATGTTTCATTTAATAGAAAATATAACTACCTATGTAATCTACAATCAATTAGGTATTAATTCGCTTACTCATTTAGAATTCGCATCATTTTTTAAAAGCTATTTTTTTTTCTACCTGTACTGATAGCCTTGAGAGGCTATTTCAACTTCTCCTTGACGTGTAGGTGAGCTCACGGGGCTCAAACCGTGTGTTGCTAGCACTGACATTAGCAAAAGCAGTGCTTCGCAGAATCTACCACCGTATCGGAATCGCAACCCAATGAGAAGATCCAGCGAGAAACTCAGTGGGTTGTGTCTATGGGTTAATTTACTCGTCGAGCCCTTCGTCGTAAGCGACGGGTTCGGCGAGGACGGTAACCAGAAAGCTAATACTTAATTCTACTCGAACCTGACACTCCTATTCGAATGCGTTTCGGTTTGAAGGGTGGTTCAGTCGTTGTAACTATACTGAGACCTTAGAACTTATATCTCAAGGTTTGAGGTGCATATACGTTGTGGACGTCTATGGACTCCAGTAACCACTTAACACCAGGGGGGCTGTGAGCTCGTCCGCCCAACTAAGCAATAAAAAAAAATAAAAAATAAAAAAAAATTGACATCGAGTTGACATGAAGAAATCAAGACAAAACCTATCGCAACCATGTAGAGACGGTATCCTTTGCGGTTCTCAAACTTCAAATCCGTACAACATTTTAACGTAACCAATCAATCAAATCAATAACCAGCCAACCACAAGACATATCCGGTTTTTTTTATCTGGTTACTTTGATTGACTACAATCTTAATTATTAATAGTTATTTTTTTTTCCCGGGCGACTTCATCGCGCGATACGACTGAAGTATCGCTCGCCCTCGGAAAACCGGGGGGGAAACACAAATAATACCCCCCCACTCCGGTCGACATTTATGAAAATTTCATTTCGCATCTCGAACAAAGTAAAATGAACCCTAATTCGGATGTGGCAAAGTCTTGAACCACCTAATTGAGTTTACGTTGATAATTTGATTTGTGGATCTTGTGCGGTCGCGTTTAGAGTCGATTTTCGTTCGTAATGATATTTCGTTGTAATGCCTCAGTAGGCTACCCCAATTTTGTGTTTGTGAGACGTGGCCGTAAACGGATTATTATGCAATCAAACGTCTCGTGGATACGTTTTGGAGAAAAAATCGATTTCTCTCTCCATATCGATATAAACGATTATGTATCGATCTTGAACGATTTAAAATAAAGTTGCAACACTTTAAGTTAAATGCAAAATAGGTGAGTCTTTTCCCTTAAAATTATTCGTAATGTCTGCTAAGGCAACAGAAGGTCAGGTGGTTCTTGTAAATATGCAGATAATTTAAAACTGCATTACAAATTATACTGAAATCAACTTCACCACGAGTGACGTCATTTCGGACTGAAATAACGAGAAAAACCTATTTTCTACATTAAGTACTTACATTCAGATTTTTATCGAATTCAGATTAAAT